GCCACAGAGCCATCAGTGACCACAGCTGCCTGCCCAGACGGTTCCTTATGCAACCACTCCTCTTTTCATTCCTTTTTTTGGGTTTGATTTGACAGATTTGCTTCAAAAGCAGCGTAGGAATACAAATGACATGTTCAATCCAGATCAGCTCTGGCTTTACAACGTCCCAGAGAAGATAAGTGCTGTATTATCACAAGTGCTGGCAACAAAAGCCCAGCTCAGGTTGTGACTGCTGAGGTTGTCACGGCTCTGCCACACCCCAAAACCTTCTCCTCCTGTGGTGGTTACACAATGTATTCCTGACACCACAAATTTCCTCCTCCTGGGTCTGGTTTTCAGGAGGAAGAAGTGATTTGGGGTGAGTTAAACCCCTGAGGGCTGCTGCCTGTCTTGCTGCACCCTGCTTTATCCTCATGGATGTGATGGGAACGTGGCCATCCTTTCCAAAAGCCTTGGGAGTGACATTTGAGAGGTTTTCAGCACATCCCTCTCCAGGCCAGCAGAGCCACTGCTTCCCTTCTCTGCAGATTTTAGGAACAGCCTTGTCAAGTGGTCGCTCACCTCCCCAAATTTTTGGCCACCATGGTAAATCTGCCCATGGATTTCAAAGCAGACCCAATTTTCCTCCTGCATTTGTAGCTGCACTCCTCCAGCTCCCAGTTGGTGTGATCCACTGAATATAATCCATGCCCAGCTGGCTTTTATTTATTCCTGATGATCCTGAGGCTGGAAAATGCTGGAACAGAAGGTTTCAGGACCTGTCAACAGGCAGGGGCACATCCAAGGTAAATTCATATAAAGAGGGATGTGTACATTTGTTTTTACAGTGCTGTAAAAGTGGAGTTATTAGGAAATCAGCCTCTAATTGCCCTCTTAATGATTCTAACTCCTCTGCACTCATTCAGAGTCATCTCTATTGTGTCAGGTATGAAAAGAGCAGCCTCATTGACATGGTTTATGACTTTATTAAAACCTGGGGTTTTACATAAATAACAAGCAGCTCCTCAGTTATATTTCCCCAGTGAAGGAAATGTGTGTGTTGGTGTGGGTCCAAGGCAATTTGTAAACACAAAGTATTAAAAGGCTCAACAATTCTAAAAAAGTTTTTAATTGGAAACTCAACAAATTGCTCGGCAAGTTCTTAATGCTTCAATATGGAGCTCTCAGATAATGAGGAGCTAATTAAGGGGCCAGGATTCAGTTTTTTATGATAACTGTCTCCATATGGGCTCAGCACTCGGTGCTTGCAGAACTAATGAAGGTCAGGGAAGTAACAGCAAAGGAAGAAAGGGAAATTTTTAGCTCTCACAGTTGTGATGGTGCTAAACAACAGCCAGGGTTTCTGCCTGGCTTCTAGGCCAGGTGCTGAGTGAGCTTCATTTAATTCCTGGGACAGGCTGGGGGCATTTCACTTCCCAAAGCTCCATTTCACTGTCCTAAGCTGCATTTTCTGGTCCAGAGCTGCATTTCACTGCCCCGAGCTTCACTTCACTGCCCTGAGCTGCATTTCACAGCCCAGAGCTGCATTTCACTGCCCAGAGCTGTATTTCACTGCCCTGAGCTGTATTTCAAGGACCAGAGCTGCATTCCACTGCCCTGAGCTGCATTTCACTGCCCAAAGCTGCATTTCACTGCCCAGAGCTGCATTTCAGAGCCCAGAGCTGGGCAGGATCCCCTGGGATGGGCTGAGAGCTCCAGGGAAGGGCTCCACGATCAGAGCCACGGCCAGGGCAGGATCATGGCTTGGCAAAGGGCAGGAATGAGAGCAAATCCCACCAGTGCCCCCTTCATCCCATGGCAGGTGTGACCCAGCTGGAGGGAGCTGGTCCCCCTGACTCAGGGTGAAGTTTTGTTTTCATTTAATTTTTTAAATGAAAAATTAAATCATGGAGTGGTTTGTGTTGGAAGGGACCTTACAGATCATCTCATCCCACCCCTGCCATGGGCAGGGACAACTTCCACTGTGGATCCAAGCCCTGTCCAGCCTGGCCTTGGACACTTCCAGGAATCCAGGGGCAGTCACAGCTTCTCTCCACCCTCAGAAGAAAAAAATACTTTGTAATATCTCATGTAAATCTCCCTTATTTCAGTGCAAGCCATTCCCCCTCATCTTGTAATTCATAAATATTCCCTTTCCATCAAACCTGTCCCATGTGTGGAGCTGGGACTGGGCTGGTGGGGCTGGGAGCAGCTTGGGTTGTGCACCAAGCCCTCCCCAATGCCTGGAGCAGGGCTTCCCAAGGAACACCTTGACAAATATTAACACAAACACACGCAGAACCATGGTCAGATGTTCCTCTGAAGCAGCTCACTGACTCCCAGCACTAAATTTGGACCAACAAGCCTCGTGCATCAAATAATGAAGTCATAGGCTATAGAAAGCAATCCTCTGGGACGTTCTTGTCGTTGAGTGGCTCATCCACTTCCAATCTGATCCATACCATTAAGTGTAGGGCCATATGGCATCCATTTATAGAATATTGCACTACAGGCAAATAGGACAAAGGTACACCCCTCAAAGCACTTCCCTCATCTCATTAACTTTGGGTACATGTTACACAGGAGCTGCTCCTGCTCTGCTGCCTTCAAGGACATTTTGTGCTCTGGAGCCTTTGTCTTAAATGAATTGCACTCAGAAAATTAGAATCTAAATGTAGCTGTGTCCTAAAGCAAACAGCATTATTTTGCCTTTCTGTAATTCGATTTATTTTTGCAGATCGATGTTTTGAAGCAGGCGTGTTCTTTTGTCCTCAACTCCTGTCTAATGACCATGCTGACTGCAGGGAACCTGGCACAGGGTGGTGTCGGTGTGCCAGGGTGGGCTGGGCAGGTTTCAGTGGTGCCCTGCCGTGTGCTGTGCTCTGCTTGGAACCCCTCCCCAAAACTGGACACATTGGCTGGGGCAAATTCTGTTAACACCTGCAGAGGTCTGGCTGTGAGTTGTGAGGTCCCATTTCCCTCTGGTGTGAGGTTTGGGGTCCCATCTCTCTCTGGTGTGAGCTTTGGGGTCCCATCTCTCTGCTGTGAGATTTGGAGTCCCATCTCTCTCTGTGTGAGATGTGGGGTCTTGGAGAGGAACCACCTCCTCATTAGAACATTCCTAGGATGGAGGACACAAAGCCTGGCAGCTGGGACAATCAGCCACACCACAAAGCAATCCAGCACGTGGTACAGCCAGGATTCCCTCCCACTTTTCCACCCTAAAGCCCTCGGGGAGCTGGGCAGGAGCAGTTCCAGTGCAAAACCCAGCCCTGGTGCCACCACCAGCCTCTGTCCCATCGATTGCAGCACCCCTGGACCCAGCTCCAGCCCTTACAGTAGCAATGTGCTGCCCTTCAGTGAGTTTGCACTGAAGAAATGCATTAATTAAAGAAAAATTACTGCAGGTGCCTTCCTGCTTTTTGGCTTTACAGATTTCTCCTGCACATCGAGGATCAATACTGCTGCCAATTACACCGTGGGTCTCCGGCCCCCCTTTTTGAGCTTCTTGGAGGGAAAAGCACTGCTGAACAGCGAAGTTCTCCACAAAGCTGGCAGCCCAGAGAGCTGGAATTACAGAGTGCAGCAGAGGAATGAGTCCTCAGAGAGCTGTCCCCATTCTGCATCCAGCCAAGGCTTCAGTGAGAGCAGCAGAGCTGACACAGGGCAGGCTCAGCCCCGTGGAACTGCCTGGAACATCTTCACGGGGAGGATTGCTCGGTGCTTGTGGTTTAATCCAGCTCTGAGAAATCACACTACACTGCTTTGTTTTTTCCATTTTCCCTCCTCCTGTTGGAGAGCCCAGCAGGAAACTGCTGCAAAGACTGAGAGGTTGGAATGTGGATGTGCAGCTTGCAGCAAACGCCGATTGCTGATATTCAATTTCCTGACCTTGGTAATAATCCCTGCTCCTTCCCAGGGCCCTGAACCATCCATCTGCTGAGCCCAAAGGCTGAGCCTCACTGGGCCACTTGGCTGGAAAATTGTCATTCCTGGTGGTGCTAAATGTGGCCAATCTGTGGGGGAAGAGGCAGGGAAAAGCTAAAACCACCTCAGTGAGCTCTTTGCAGCTTGCACAGGGACCATGCCCCAGCTGCCCTCGAGATCCAGCTCAGGATCACCCTGGATGGGTGGGGAAGGTGCTGGCCCCTCCAACCTGGAGCTGACTGGAGCGGGAATTGCTAAATATTGTTGTTCTGGAGGTGCAGGGGAGAGACAGGACTCTACATCTCAGCAGAGAGAGGTGGGACCTCAAATATCACAGGAAGAGAGATGGGACCCCAAATCTCAAAGAGAGAGAGAGATGAGACCCCAAATCTTACACCAGAGATAGATGGGACCCCAAATCTTACACCAGAGATAGATGGGACCCCAAATTTCACAGCAAAGAGAGGTAAGACCCCCAAATCTCACACCTGAGGGAAATGGGATCTGACATCTCCCACAGAGAGAGATGAGACCCCAAATCTCACACCTGAGGGAGATGTGCGTCCTGTACCCCGTGAGGTCCCTGCTTTGGCAGAACCAGGACGGCTGAGTGTGACAGTGACAGTCACTCTTTAGAACAAGTTAAATAAAGGAGATTTTTACCTGCAGAAGCCTGCAGCAAACTCAGGGTGGGGGACACTCCAAGAAGCCAAGAAGGAATGGGATCCAGTTGCTCTCAGGGGTCCCAAGCAGTGTCTGCAGCTCCGATAAAGGCGGCAGATGATGAGATTTCCCCCTGTTGTGGCACCAACACCAGACACTGTCAGTCCCTGAGGGGATGGCCAGACCCTGCCCACAGCAGGAGCAGCCAGGATTTTATGTCCTTGAAGCAGTGCCTGCTCCAGATGAAAATGAGAAGGGAATCCCAACAGAGCAGAGAGCCAACCCTCCACCCTCCCAGCCCCAGCTACACATTGGGAAATATTCCCTGGAAGCAAACTCAGGATGGCTGCTCAGCATTTACCCCCAAAAATTCCAGCTCTCCCTCCCCTGCACTGGCTCACTCACGCAGAGAAGACACCAAACAAAGCAGGGAAGTCTCCTAATAGTTTTATTGTTCCTTAGATAACTGTGGATAGTACAAATTTTTTCCTCTTAAAAAAAAAATTAATTACCTTCACACTTCCATAAACAAAGCTTCCCATGGGAATCTGCTGCCACAGAAATCTCCATGGAAGCGATTTCCAACCACCATAATGCTATGTAGATAGATAACAGTAAGAGAATATTCCTGTAATTATCAACATGAAATTGGTTACCTGTGTATAAGGGTGAACACTGACCTTTTTTTTTTTTTGCCTTTTAAGAAACGAAAAAACCATCATTTATTAAATCCAAACTACATCATTGCATTTACAACATTCATTGCATAAACTGGACATACAAAGTTTTGCCACCTCTGGTAAATAACAGACATACATTATACAATATAGTTGCTGAATACATAAGTTCAAACAATATGGGTACAACAACTTGTTCATAATACATACTTAAACCATCGTGTTTAATAAGTTACTAAGACACAGATCCATGAGCTACTTCGGGTCTCAGCACAGTTAATCTAAGTGACAAGAACACAGTTGAGAGACACAGTAGCTGCAATGGAAGGCAAAGAAAACTAACCTGTGATAGGTCTTGTTGAGACAGCCAGAGCTCCTCACGGGTCAGCTTCTCCTGCTTTTCCTTTCCACACATCCATCACAGCTGCCCGTGCCGCCGGGGGAATGTCCATGCAAGCCACACACGGAGGAGAGCGAGGCTCCCGAGGGTGAACTTCCAACAGTCATTGCCTTACTGCTTGAGGATGTTCTCTAGGTTTGCTATCAGAACAGAAACAAAACAAAACCCCAAACTGAAGTGGTTCTCTGAGTGCAGTTCCAGCTGCAAGTACACGGTTACTCGTGAGTCTATAACACAGGGCCAGACTTCTAGAAATGTAGAGGTAATGCTGATCTGTCAGGCTTACGCTGAATAATCCTCCATGATGTGTTGGTCTTAATTTTGGCAGCTGTTTTTTATATGTTTACTTATTTAAAGTATGTTCCCTTAATAGCAATTTTTTTAAATTAGTTTCTCCCTTTTTTTTCCTTTTTATCATTATTATTTTTTTTTAAATTTTCACTTTAATTTATTTATTTATTCTTCCCCCCCCCCCATAAACCCAGTTTCCAACCAAGGCCGGGCTACAACTCGTCGGAGCGGATGACGTGGAAGAGGGTGACGTTGTAGAGGATTTGATGCCCGTTGTTCCAGGCGTAGAGAGCCCGATCCTTGGGGTTGTAGTCCAACATGGAGATGTGGGAGTACTTGTTCTGGAAGGGGATGTCGATGTACTCGTAGGTGGAGGCGTTGGTCTGGTAGGCGTAGTGCACCTTGGTGCCTCCCGAGTAGCCGTTGGTAACGTAGAGCGTGCCGCAGATGATGAAGGCCTCGCCGGCGCTGCGTTTCGGGTAGCTGGTGTTCCAGGTCTGCAGGCTCTGCAGGGTGTTGGGGTCCAACTTGCTGATGACGATGTTGCCGGCATTCTGGTTGGTGGCGTAGACGGCCCAGAGCCCGTTCTCGTCCACCATGAGGTCGATGTCGGAGTGGCCGCCCCAGGCGTAGTGGTACATGTTGTTGTAGCCGGCGTAGTCCAGGCTGCGTGTCTTGAGGATGGTCTCCGTCTTCAAGTCGAACCTGATGATGATGTGACTTTGGTATTTGTTGAAGTAGATGGAGCCGTTGTAGACCACCTGGCCCGTGCCCGACCAGGGGTGGGGCAGGCGGTGCGAGGTGAAGTTGTCGGTGTTCATGAAATCCGCCATGGATTTGTACTCGCGGACGAAGCGGTTGTTGTGGTAGCTGTCCATGTACCAAACCTGCACGAGGCAAACACGGCGGGTTAGGGAGAGTATTGGAAAGATATATAGCTGGATGGGACGTGCCTGAGCTCGTCTGGCCCTTGCTGCTTGACCAAATAGTGGCACTGTGGTGTTTCACCCCACAGACACTTTGGGCTGGCTGGGTGTGTGGTGTTTCACCCCACAGACACCCTTGGCTGGCTGGGTGTGTGGTGTTTCACCCCACAGACACTTTGGGCTGGCTGGGTGCTGCACTGGGCCCATGGGTACAAGTGCAGGCCTGCAGGAGCTCTGGTGGTGGTGGGATGGAGCTTCCCCCATAACAGCGGCTGCTCCTCAGGTTTCCCTCTGCCAGAGAAGCTTTAAGGCGTTGGTGAAGGAAAGGAGTGGGTTCTGATGGAGGGTTTGGATCCAGAGCTTTATTCTGGCCCACAGGCCTCTGAATGCAGCACCAGCTCCAGCAGAACACCCTGAGCCCGTGGTTGTTGTTCCTTTGAACCCCGGGGAGAGGGGCAGAGAAGGAACATGAGGACCACCAACCAGGGGGGAAATCTCAAGGGACAAAGGACACCTGGATGGCCCAGTGTCCCTCCAGGGGTGGAGGGCATCCTTTGAATCTGCCAATCCCTTCTGGAATGCCAGGATTGACAGACAGTGCTGGGAGGGGAAAGGAGAAGTGACTGACACACCTGGCAGGGAATTATCAGGGAGGAACCCTGAGGTTCCTGAGGGGTATCTGAGGCAAACCATGACATCGCACGGCAACAGAGAGAAATCCAAAGCCAGGAGTTGTGCAATCGTCATAAAATGGTTTGGAATGGAGATTAAAACTCAGCCCTGCCAAGGATGCCTTCCACCAGAGCAGGCTGCTCCAAATCTGGCCTTGAATCCAGCCAACATCTGTCACCTACATCCAGAAACAACCCCAATTTCTGGAGCCCCAAATCAGCCAGGAAATCAACCCAACAGTAAAGCTTTCCCTGGGGGATAACCTGATATCTCCTTGGCTTAAGCGTTCCCCTGGGAATGCTGGTGGCTGGCACCACCCTCCCTTCCCCAGGGCAATTAGCAGCTTTTCCCTGGCTAAACCCAGCATTTTCCGTGCTGCTGCTGCTGCTTTTGCTTCCCGCGGTAACACTCAGTAAATTACAGCAGCTGCTGTGCACAACTCCATTAATTTGGAATGCGGGAGCGAGGGATGCAATCACTCATTGTCAGGCAAATTCAGGCAAAAAGTCCATATTGGTTTAAAAATCATACACTGCTGCATCAAAAAGCTTAAAGCGAGGCTGCTGAAATATAAGAGACAAAGACATCTAAATCTTGCTCTGGGTGGATTGGGGAGAGATTTTAGATCATCATTTAAGTGCCAGTTCACTGGGGACACTGTCTAGACTCCTTAAAAAAAACAAAAAAAGCTTTTGTTATATGAAACCAATTCCGAGGCAAATGACCAAGCTGTGCAGTTAATATCCACAAGAAATATCCAGCCAGCCACTGACATTCTGGATGCAGTTGCTGCCTGAAAATGAGAGAGCTGCTTTCTGTTAGAGCCATTTAGGAAGGAGAAAAGGTAAATTTAGGAAGGAGAAAAGGTAAATTTAGGAAGGAGAAAAGGTAAATTTAGCAAGAGGGAAGCCTTTAAGGCTGCAGATTTGGGTGATGTAGTGCAGATTTCTTCTGCAAACCCCTTGCAAAATCTGACAGCTCTGTGTCTGAAGTGTGATCATCAGTCTTTGAGAAGGGCAGCCCAACATTTGGCTGCTGCCTTTGGGAAGTCAACTGGGGTCTCCAAAAACTTTGGAGGGAATTTCAGCTTTCTGTCACTGCCTCCCTGGAAAGTTGGGGAATGGATTTGTGCAAATGGCTCAGTCCCTCAGCCCCAAACCTTGCTGGGCTTGGGGGTGGCTGCAAAAGCATCAGAGAACAGCCAGAGCTGGAAATGAAACTTCAGCTGGGAAATTATAGGGGAAAAAACCAACCAAAACATGACTCTCTCTTTGCTGCTTCCATTTCATTATCCGGTATTAAAAATTCAACATGCAAATGTGTTGTTGTGCTCAGTTTTTAAAGCTCAGCAGAGCCCTGTGTCACCGTGCAGGGGCTGCAGGACCCAAGAGCATTCCCAGCTCTGGAAAAGCAGGGATTGATGGATGAACAATGTCCCATCACAGCAGCTGGCTCTGAGCAACCTCCTCCTGCCCCCACGCAGCAATCCCAGCTCTCAGCATCCACCTGCTGCTCCCACAGCACTCACAAATCTCCCCCGGTTGTGTTCCGTGGTTTCATGACATGAACAAATGATCACAGGAGCACCAAACCCCTCCTGGGGCTCGGGGACAGGAGCTGGGGATGATGAACTGCCCATCCTCACCGTCCCACTCTGCTGAGCAGCCAGTGCAGTTCACCTAATGGTGTGTTCCTAATAAAATTCCCAGCAGGTTTTCTATATTAAATACATAGAGAGGCTTGGGAAGCTCCAGCTCCAGTTTGCAGCCCACTTGTACGACAAAAATACGCTGCAGAAAAAGGCATGGCTAAAAAAATACCAAAAAATAGCGGTTTGAGACAAAACTCTCTGAAGACACGGGAGGATCTTTAGCATCTGAACCACCAGCTTCAGCTGAAAAATGTTTTAGTGCCAAGGGAAGCAGCAAGCACAGCCTGAAGGGGACAATCCTGTCCCCTCTCTTGAGCAGAATGGGATGTGATGGGGGTAAAACCTTCCCATCTCACCTCTAAGCAGGGTTTTATTTGGGCTGGAGGTGAAATTTTGCTTAATAACTGTAAAATATGGAGGTGTTGAATTGGGGCAGCGGTGCCAACCAGTTGGCTGCTGGAGGGAAAGAGCCTGACAACTCAAGTCACCTTCAAAGAAACCACCCAGGGGTGACTTCTCCAGAGCATCCCTTGTCCTCTCTCAGCTACAGAGCTGGTGCCAGGGCACAGATCCCAAAATAGGTGCCCTGATCCAGCCCTTGCTGGTGCCTTTATCCTCTGAAGGATGCTGCATGCAGGAGGGAATTACAGGCAGCCAAGCTTTCTGCTGCTTGTTTTGTTTTGCTGCCTGCAAATCCTCGGCAAACACTCGAGATATTTTCCATTCCATCAGTCATGGGGAGCTGGGATTGATTTTCAGCCAGTTATTGGCCTCCTACCTCCTTGGGATCAAAATTGAATGGTCTGAATGGAAAAAAAATAAAAGACCAAAACAAAGCAAAACAAATCTCTCTCTCTCTGGCTGCAGCCAGTTAATTCCTCACAACAATGAAGGTGGAGGATGGAGGGCAAATGCAGGCAGATGACATTATCAGAGGTGCTGGCAGCAGCAGAGCAGCAGGGACCAGGACCACGGGTCCCTCTGCTCAGCCCCAGCTCCCTCCTGACTGCCAAACACAGATTAGAAACCCAATACTTGCTTTTTTTTGCCACACGGACCTCATGGTGACAATTCCCTCATCACTGAGTTCCACCTGCCCAGGAAAGGGAGCAGGGCAGGGGCTGCTCATCTTCTCCTCATCCTCCCTCCCTGGGGATGCTCAGCCCCTCCTGCTGCCAGCAGAGCCTTGTAGGATGGATGAGGCCATTCCCTGGTTTTCCCAGTGATGAATATTCACTGTCCTCAGGTGTTGCAGACATCTTTTAAGTAAAAATCCTTTCCTTGGGATTTTTCCTCCTGAGAAGCTGAGAGGCCTCAGGGACAAAATGTAAACAATGATTATCTGCTGCTGTGGAATGCAACAGGTGCATCTGTGATTGGTCTCATGTGGTTGTTTCTGATTAATGGACAATCACAGCCCAGCTGGCTCGGACAACAGAGCCTGAGCAACAAACCTTTGTTATCATTCCTTTCTATTCTTAGATTAGCTAGCCTTCTGATGAAACCTTTTCTTCTATTCTTTTAGTATCGTTTTAATGTAATATACATTTAATAAAATAATAAATCAAGCCTTCTGAAACATGGAGTCAGATCCTCATCTCTTCCCTCAACATAAAACCCCTGTGAGCACGGTCACACTCAGGCACACGGGTGATGCTGCTGTCACACACTCTTACCTTGTTCTCCCCCTCAGGAGCCAGAGGATCCGTCATCCATGATCCAAAGCGGGAGCCCGAGGTTTTAATTGTGATCGGGTCACTTATTCCCGTCAGCTTCCCACAGGCTGGAAAAGAGGGGAAGGCTGGTGAGCACCACGACAGCCCCCGAGGGGCACCAGCACCGCCCCACCCACTCCTCTGTGCCCTGCTAAGCTCGGTTTAATTACAGGGAATGGCTCAGGAACAAGTGTCGGATGCTTTTGTTTGTGTCACACCTCTTAATGACAATTGTCCTTATGGCTGTCCCCGAGAAAAGGAGCTGCGAGTGGCCCGGAATGGAGAATGAGAGCAGCAGGCAGGTGCAGGGAGGAGCTGCTCTGATCCAGATGAAAAAGCAGCCGTGGCCATTCCAGCCCTGCTGGAAACCTGCGCTTGGTACAGGTTATGCAGAGGAGAGAAAGGAGGAAGGTGGAAAATGGCCCACAATGTAAATCTCCTCCCTGCAAGGACCATTTACCAGCTGCTTTTCCTGTTGTCCCTTGTGTTGCACACTCAGGAGCATCACACACACTCAGGAGGGTCACACACACTGGTGGATCCTCCAGCCAGCTCTGGAAAAGGAGCCCCAGCTTGCCCCTTGTGTTGCACACTCAGGAGGATCACACACACTCAGGAAGGTCACACACACTCAGGAAGGTCACACACACTCAGGAGGATCACACACACTCAGGAAGGTCACACACACTCAGGAGGATCACACACAGGATGAAGGTGGGAGCATCCTAAGGGTCCTGCCCAGCTCAGCCTCACCACCACAGGATGGGCAGGGCACTGTAAGCCAGGTCTGAGCTCCAAATCTGCTGAATTCAGGGAGCCACTTCAGCTCCTCGCTGGGTTTTCAAGCCCTAAATACGAGGGGAAGCAGCAGCATCTCTTCTCCAGCTCATTCCCCAGCCCTGGCTCTGTCCCAGCCCCTCTCTGGGGCTGCCCATGGATCTGGAATGCTGCAGCCCCAGCATGGGAGGTGCAGCCACATCCCAGCTCCTTTTCCCAGCAATATCCCCAGGTTTCAGCAGAGCTGCCCCACCAAAATTTAACCTGAGTGCAGTGAGGAGTGACAGGGGAGGAGGTGAAGATGCCTCGGGATGGTGGGGGATGTCCTGTTGGGCACGGAGAGCTCATTTAAAACCCAACCAGAGCTCATTTAAAACCCAACCAGAGCCCATTTAAAACCCCTGAGCCCATTTAAAACCCCATCCAGGGCAGAGGCAGTGGGGCACAGCCAGCACCTGGAGTTCAGGAGGTGTTTCCTGAGCTTTCCTTTTGGATGTGGGAGCGCCTGGCCGTGCTGGGGTGCAGAAGCTGCCCTGGTGCTGCGCTGGAGCTGCACTGCAGTGGTGCTCAGCAGGAGCCAGGGCTGGGCTGCAGGTGGGAGCCCCTGCAGGTGCTGCTGGAACATGGGGAGAGCTCTGCCAGCTCAGGACAAGGTCATCCTGCTCCAAATTAAAATCATGGGATGGTTTGTTATTAAGGAGCATTAAAGGTTGTTTAGTCCAGCCCCCTGCAATGAGCAGGGATGTCTTCAACCAGATCAGGTTGCTGTCCAACCTGACCTTCATGCAATCATAGATTTTACACTTGCAGAACTCTGCAATCCCTCTCAGCTGCCTCTCTCCTTGGCCTGTTCTCACCTGCATTGTAACTCCTGATCAGACACATCCACCTGCCTCAGCCAAAGGGATCCCCTTAGCCCAGGGCAGGAAACAGAGGGAGAAATTCCTGCTGTGCACCAAGGGTACCATCAGTGCCCCACAGCCTCCAGACCCAGGCAGAACAAGAGAGACGCCCCCAAAAAGCAGAGATTGCTGAGACACAAGGCACAGGGATTTGCCCTCCTGCCTGCTGCACTCCAAACCTCTCAGGTCAGAGGGAGAGCAAAGAGATGCAATGGGTTAAAATAACAAATTTTAATGTCTTGCAGGGGTCCAGCCTTTCCTTAATCCCAGATCTGCCTTCCATTATCACAGCCCTACATTGCTGTCACTTTATCTCTTCCTCCCATTTCCCTAGAGAGGAGCGTGCTATAAAAGCTCATTGATTAAAAAAATCCAAACAAACCAAAAACAGTTAAAAAAAAAGCAGCAGCAGCTGATAAGGGTAAACCAGTGTTGTTTGCAACATCTCCTACACGTTTAGCTGGAGGCACACAGAGCCCAGCTCCTCAGCAATGCAGGAGGGTTCTTCTCTCTCCTGCTGCAAACCCATCCCAGGCTGCTGGGGGGAATTCAACACGGATTTTAAAGATCCTGAGTTAGCTTTGCTGGGTTTGCCACCCAAGCATGGACAGCTCCAGCCCCTGGGATCCTCACCCACCTGAGGAGATGCACAGCACACCTGCAATATCAGCAGCTGAGCTTTCTGCAAACCCCCCTCCTGTCAGATGGAATTCCATGGGAATTCCAGGTCACTCAGGAACAGCTGTGCCACAGAAAAGCTCATCCTGCGCTCACCCAGGAGCCCAGGACAGGAGAAACGTGTGAGGAGCAGATTTAGGGCCTCACAGAGGAGCTGCTCTCACTCCTCTTCACCCAGAGCTGTCCAGCTCCTTTCTCCTGGCCACAAATGAGCCTTTCCCCAAGTGTCCCTCTGTCCTGCCATGAGATGCATCCCCACTCCAGCTGCACGAGGAATTTTCCAGCAGGAGCAGGTGGGACCAGCTCTCCCCTCCTCCCAGGGTGCCACCACCTCCTCTCCAGCTCTGGATGCTGCCCACAGGTCCTGCCTGGCAGCTCCCAGCAGCTCCTCCACCAACGCACAGGCACCAGCTCCTGCTGGGCTCGTGGTTCTGTAACACAGCCAGGAACTGCCCTGCTCCAGCTTCCCAGGAGGCCAAGGACTGATCCCAATCCCAATCCCAATCCCAATCCCAATCTCAGCTCTCCAGGCAGGGATGGGGCTATGGCAGCTCAGCTGGGCTTGGATCTTGCATCTGTTGCCTGGTTGTGAGCACCCCGTCCCAAAACCATCAGGGATGGCTTCATCCCATCCCAAAACCATCAGGGGTGGAGCTCCATCCCCACCCCAAAACCATCAGGAATGGGGCCCTATCCTGATCCCAAAACCACCAGGCTCCATCCCCATCCCCAAACCATCAGAGATGGCTCCATCCCCATCCCCATCCCCATCCCCAAACCACCAGGGATGGCTCCATCCCCATCCCCAAACCACAAGGGATGGCCCCATCCCTATCCCAAACCACCAGGAATTGAGCTCCATCCCATCTCAAAATCATCAGGGATGGCTCCATCCCCATCCCAAAACCATCAGAGATTGAGCTCCATCCCAGAACCATCAGAGATGGCTCCATCCCCATCCCTGCACCAGGATTTTTCCCAAGGAAATCTTGCCCTGCCTGAATTAAATTCTCCCCAGATCCAAGGAGTGCCAAGCCCTGTATCTCCTCTCAGGACCATTAATGCAAAGGCTAAAATCCCTGTATAAATAGGGATCTTCAGGAGTGTAAACAGAAACACAGATTGAAGCTGCCATTATTGATTTCTTTTTTTCCCCCTCCACACACATGCCAGGGTCAGGAAGTGTTTTCACTATTGATCCATCAATAATGCTTAGGAAACCCAAAATGCAAAACAGGACCTTGGCTAAGGAAAAGGCAGTGCCAAGGCTCAGAGCTCACTGGGAGAGGTGAGATGGGTGGGAATGTGGCACATCCCTCCCCTCCCTTGGCCTGTGCTTGCTGCAGCAGCTCCCTGACCCTGTTTGGGGCGCACAAACTCCAGGGGAGCAGCAAATCTCAGCTAAAACCTTCTCCTTGAGACATCAGCGAGCCCAGCTGAGCAGAAAACCTGCAGCAAAGTGAAATCCCCAGCAATCAGGGCCTCATTGTGTGGCAGCAAAGCGTTTGTAAGGCTGTTATCTGAATTTAACTCAATTAGCAACCGTTTCCAGTGGTTTACACACCGGAGAGATAAACAGCATTGGAAATTCAATCCGTGCTGGTTCTTTTAAGTGACCAAATAAATCAGCTTCCCGTGTGAGCAGCAAATCCTTTGGGATGAGCCTTGGGGAGGCACAGAATCCATCTCTGTGAGCACCCAGGGCTGCTGCAAAAGAGCTGCTCCGACACCAGAGAGAGAGCAAGGGCAGGAAGAAGCCAAAAAGCCCAGCTAAAAACTCAAAAATATTTTAAAAAACACCCAAACATTCCTAGACAAGGTTACCTGCAAGAGCTCAGCATCCCTACCTGCCTCTTTCTTACCTGGTCCCAGCTGGACCTGAGTGTGAAGGGATGGGATGAGCAGAAAGGGTTAATGGTCCAAGAGCAAATTCTAATTTTTTTGGAGCCCTGAATGGTTTGGGAGCTACCCCTTGAAGCCTGCCTAGGGTCAGTGGGAGGATTGTCCCAACTTCCCTGGTTGGAATGGCTTTGTTAAAGAACTGTCCCCAAGTTTGAAGTCTCAAATCCCTGCTCCTGCTGCCTCTCCCTGTGTCCCACAGCTCCTCCTCATCTTCAAAGGATGGGCTGAAGGCTCTGGGTGCAGCAGGGGGACCCCTCCTTGGGCACCTCCTCCTCTGCCTTCAGGATCCATTTGCAGGGGATGTGGGGCTGCCAGGAGGTCTCTGTGTGCCCTTGGTCCATCCCACCCTCCTGGGCTTGTTCTCCTTTCTTATCTTCCCTTCTTATCTGTTCATCCTTATCTTCCCACTGCACCGTGCCCACCTGATAGAGCTCTAGGAACTGGGGACTCCAGCCCTGCTCATTCCTGTCCCCATTAGAAGTTCAAGAGGGTGAGAAGGTCAGAATTTCCCTCCTTGCCCAACCCTGCTGCCCTCCCTGTGACCATCACAGGGAAAAGGGGCAGAAAGCCCCAGCCTGTCCTGCTCTCAAACCAAACCTGGGCTACCAGCACTCATTAATTAATGAGAAATCAAACTCTGATCTCTCTTGGCCAGGGGGTTTTATCTGTCCCAAGGGTATCTCGGTGCCTGGCTTGTTCAAACACTCTGAGCATCCACATTTAAATGGGAATTTTACTCTCTGGAGCCTGCAAGGGATGTCCAAGGAACCAGAGGATGGAAATGCAGAGGGAATGGAGGGGAGGTGGCTGCTCACAGTGTGGAGGCATCTAGAAACAAGCAAAATCAACCCCAGCAGCAGAGCCAAGAGAGAAACAAAGCATTACCTTGCCAAGGATATCAAGTGCTCAGAAGAGATCTGATCTTCCGTGAAGTTACCTGAGAGTGTAATTTCGTATGTGCTACCAAAATAGACTGCAGAGCAGTTAATGTGTTTGGATTATCTAAATGGCGTGGCAAGAAAGTCAATAATGGAAGGAGAAATTAAATCAAGTCAGAGCTGGCCCAACAAATGGTGCAGAGAGTCCTTGCAGCTGTGGGAGGCAGTGCTCTCCTCCTTCCCCCTGTGTTTGGGGTCACACGTTGGGTTTGGTGGCAGCTGAGCCTCCCCACAACAGCCCCAGGAGTTTCAGTGAGTTCCAACCCTCTGGAGGAGGTCAGAGATGAGTCCCTGGTGGTTTAGCAGCAGCCTGGTGGAAATGGCTCCCTGCTCCCTCAGGGGATGGGAGAGGGAGGACTCCCATCCCGCGCAGGGGCAGGACCACACCGCGCCCCAGCTCCTCATGCTCTGCTCCGGGGGCATTGGCAAGATGCAAAAAATAAAGAAAGGAAACCGAGGGAAACCGAGGCACAGCCCCACACCCCCCACCACGAGCAGAGCCCTTTGCTGACGGACCAGGTCCAGGGATGCAGAAGCAAAAGGGGTGCCAGTGTTGGCTTTGCATAAGCGTGAGCTGCCACTTATGCAAGCGCCGCCCACACGCCCGCTCCGCTCTCTTGGGAGAGGAGAGGAGAGGAGAGGAGCATCCTGAAGCGCTCACACCACGAGCAGCATTGCTCCTGCCAGTAATCCTGGGCAGGACTACTCCCAGGAGGAATGTTCCTGGTGGCATCACTCTTGGCAGGATGGCCCCTGGCTGTGTGGAGCTCATCCCTCGCGGCCGGGCACGGCACCAGATGTCCAGCGGGGCATCTCTGCCTCCGGCCGGGATGCGTGCGTTGGCGCCGGTGGCCTTGGAGCCACCGTGGTGGTTCTGAGCCTACCTAATTTTTGCATGCATGCACGAAGCCTTTCTTCAAGATTTGACACTCTGTTCTGAAGCTCTTCGTAGTCATAGGCGCCAATCTCCTCCTGGAGTTCGTTTAGAACTGACGTCAGATTCTGGACCTCCTCTTTAAACTGCAATACCAATTTGGCATCGGCTTTGTACTCTTCCAACACTGGTATCAAAGGCCTAAGTTCCTCCATTTTCGCTTTTATTGCCTGCAAGGTTAAAATAAGCTCGGTTCAGTGCTATGCGTGCAAAAATCTGCAACACTCTGCCTTGACCTGGGTGCTTCCTATGGGAGCGAAATGTTCACATTTCCCACAATTATTAGCATTAAAATTAGCTCAATTATTATTTTTGGTCCGAATGATGTCTTGGCAAGAACATATTAAACAGGCTGCAGAACACCAAAATATTTGGGAAAGGCCTTTATTTGTCATTTTTAGAATGCAACATCTTAGGGTTACATGCTTCAGATCACATACACAAAGAGTTGTTGTTTTTTTTTTCTTTTTTTTCTTTCCAAAAAATAAAAGAAAATAAGATATATATGCATTGACAAGGGTTTCAAACTATTCATGAAATGCATCTACAATTGCATGCAAAGGAAGATCTCGGTTGTGTGGTTCAAGGTTCCTTAGTGAGATATGGTGCTAATTTGGAAAATAATCAAAAAAATCAATGCATGGTGCAAAATGCTCTGTGGCCCTCTTTTCATGGTTACATGGGAGTGAACTGCTTCTTCAGTCACTGCAGCATTGAAAAAACTTGCTTTTTAGTTAGCCCTGTAAGCAAGAAAATGAAATACTGTTGAGGATCTAGCTCACTAACCTGCCTTATATAGATAGCCATTCATAGACAAATACTCTTACGGCACTAAAGAGAGAAAAAAAACCAACACAAGAGCTCCAAAGCACTCACAGTTTAATGCTGGCATTAGCAGGAACAAAATGCTGTGGCTGTTCTTTCAAATGCTGCTTTGGCAGCAAATTAGACAAAAAATTCCTCACTGGTTTCAAGCGCGGAACAGAAAAATAAAATTCATTATCAGATGGATTTTGCAGAAATGAATTTTTTTTTTTTTTTTTATTTTTTTTTTGTTTTTTGCTTTTTGCTCATTTAAAGGCTCAGAATGCAGCATTTTGTTGCAGATGCTTTGCTCCAGCAGCTAATGAGTAGACATTAATATGCATGCACCTACCCGTTAATGAAGCGTGTTAGAACACCCAAAATCCCTGGTGCTGCTCAAATTACAGTGGCCAAGCTCCCAGCACCCAGGGCTGTGACATCTGCCTGTGTCCTGAAGCTTTTTTGGGGCTGAACAGGATCAGGAATTCCTCCTCAGCCTCCTTCCCATCCATCCCCTCCTATTTAAGCCACGAGAATTTTGTCCCTCCCGTGCTTTGCACGTGGGGAATGTTTTAAATTTTATTTCATTGAAAGTTCCCTGGCAGGCAATGGGGAGGGCTGAACTCATCAGAATGGTGGAAGGGGGAAAACAATAATAACTGAAATAAAGAAATAATTAAATAAAAGAAACTCATGCTCAAGTCTTTCCATCCAGACTGCAGAGCTAAATTTAGGGTCCTGCAGTAACTGGAGATGGGGAGCGGAGGAGGTGGAGTTGGTGAAAAGTTTTAAGAACCATCTTCTCATCTTTTTATGAGATAATCATGGTATTTCAGTATTTAGCATTAAAAAAAAATCTGCTTTAAAATACCAGCCAGCTGCCTGCAAATGAGGGTGGGAATCAGCTGGGTGGCTGATCAGAAAAGTCCCCAAATTCCACCAGAAATCTTTTCCATTTGATTTTTTATATCTATTAACCCACAGCACTGCTAAAATTTAAAACTCCAGTATTGCCCAGAACATCTTTTTGGCAATTTCATTCATCCTCAGCAACTTCCTGAGGGTTTGGCCACTGCTCCCAGTGCCAGCTGCATTCCAGAGGCTGCAGCTCCTCTCCCCCTCTGCCCAGCGCCAGGACACCACACAAAACCCATCAGAAGCCGCTGCCTCTGCTGCCAACACCCAAAATTGGACAAAATCCTGGAGATGTGCAGGTTGCCAGCCTGAGGACAGCTGTAATAATTGTATTTTTGGGGTATTTTTTTTCAGGGGAGGGATGTTTGATTGAGGAACTCCTTTCTCCAGCCACCCCCAGGGGAAATGGGGTTTGGTGACTGCCCACTGAGGTTTGGCAGGAATGCAAAGGCAGCCCCAGTTCTTGGGTTTTTTTCCCAAGAAATGGGTGCTGGGCATGGCATGGAGAAGCTGCCTGGCCACAGAGGGGAACCCAGAGCTCACCCAGAGCTGGGGTGTCTCCCTGCAGACCCCACTGATAGAATCACCTGCACCGCCCTATTTCGGGCACCCAGGCAGGTGTGGGAACACAGGGATTTGTGATTTTACCCTAAAACAAGATGCAGGGCTGAGGAGGTGAGGCCACAGCCTGGATCTGGCTGTGCTTTGGGCAGGAAGGACCCCACAGCTGGGATGGGAGCCACAATCCCCTGGCCACTGCTCCCGAAGCAGTTTGGAAATCAGACCTACCTTAAACTGCCTTGCCAGGTGCTGCTTGTGGCTTTCTTCCACTTGCTTAAATTTGGATTCCAGTCCCCTCATCTGGTTTTCCATCTTCTCCACGTACTGTAGGTCTCTCTGAGTCCTCCTGTCCAACACCTCTATCGACTGGGACATGTTTTGCACCTGCCAAACGAGAAGGGGCTCATTAAAAGGTGCTGCCAGCAGCCAGGCAGCCCCCCGTGCACCCCAAGGCTGACCTTTCCCACACGCTCAGCACAGCTAAAGGGCAATCAGCCCATGCATTATTTACTGCCTCATCAACAGCAGCTCCCAGATTACCACAGCAAAACCCGTTTCATAAATTATTTTTTTTTTCTGCAGAGAAGGACTCAGCAATCTGACATGGAAATGAGGGGTGTAGCTGAGGTTAAACTCAGGCTGGCCTCTCTGACAGGCACCAGAGGTGACAGCAGCACACCTGGCTGGGAGGAAACGCTCCAGCCCAGGTGCACAATTCCATCTCCTGGTGAGCACAAACCTCAGCAGAACTTCATGATCCACCCAGCCTGCTCCAGCAGCACCTGCCACAACCAGCCCAGCGGCAGGGAGGGCATCCTGGGGCCGGGGAGCACCGGGCATGGTTGGCACCCCTTTGGTGCCCGCGCAGCTCCGGAGCCGAGCGGTGCCGCATTCCCGCCCGGAGCCCATCTGGCCCTGCCAGGGAATGATGCAGGAGCTTGGCTGGGCTGGCAGTGAGAAAACGAGCTGGAGGTGTGAGGAGGGGAGGGGAACGCCAGCGAGGCTGACCTGATTTTGAAGGTTGGCTGCCATCGGGTTTATTAAGATATTCCCTCCTGTTTTCCAGGCTGGGAGAGGTGGAACAGGTCTGACGTCAGCTCCTATTTAGCACCGAGCCATATTGAAGGGCTCTGCAGCGGGGCTGGATGTGTCTGTCCCACGGTGGGGACATGACAGGGACAGCCCACGGGTGCTGCTCCTGCCACCGCCACGTCACCCCAGCAGTGCCAGCACCGTGGTGACGTCTGTGGGCAAAGTGAATCAGGCACCCAGCCTGCTGCTGCTGCTGCTGCTGCGTCAGGGCCTTGCTCCTGAGCCAGCCTGATCCCAGCCTGATCTCATCCTGCTTCCAGCCTGTTCCCAGGCTGATCCCAGCCTGCTCCAGTCTGATATCATCCTGCTCCCAGCCTGATTCCAGTCCACTCCCATCTTGCTCCCAGTCTGATTCCATCCTGCTCCTATCCTACTCCCATCCTGCTCCCATTCTGATCCTATCCTACTCCTATCCTGCTCCCAGCCTGTTCCCAGCCTGCTCACATTCTGCTCCATCCTGCTCCCAGCCTGATCCCATCCTGATTCCATCATTCTCACATCCTGCTTCCAGCCCGCTCCCATCCCGTTCCCAGCCTGCTGCCATCCTGCCTCCATCCTGCTCCTTTCTTGCTCCAGCCTGCACCCAGCCTAATTCCAGTCCACTCCCATCCTGCTCCCATCCTGCTCCCATCCTGATCCCATCCTGATCCCATCCTGCTCCCATCCTGCTCAGCTCTTGGTGGGTGGATGGATCTGCTCCCCAGATGGATGGGTGCCACATCCGCTCCTGTCTGCATCCTCACCGCAGCCAAGCTGGCATGGGGAGGAAAGGAGGGAGTGAAAATCCCACGTTTCCTCTGGCAAATCCCACATTTCCTCTGGCAAATCCCACATTCCCTCTGGCAAACCCCACTGTGGTGGGCTGGGACTTACCTGGAGTGGCAGAGCGAGGGCACGGCAGGACAGCACGGGGCAAATGCCAAGGGTGCCCCTCCAGCTTGGAAAAACCATCACAGTGCCCCTTGCTCATGCAGGATGACACTGGAACTATTGCAGGGATCTATTAAAAATGTATGGGTGACCTGCATGGCAAAGGCCAGCAGGCTTTGGAGCGTTCTGTACAACTGCTCTGGGGGCCAGAGCGTTCCTCAGTAAAGGTGAAGCTATTTGTGGTCTGTGAGGCTCAGAGATGAACCAGCAGCACCCTGACCTCCCCAGGAGCTGCTCAGGGAGGTGTGAGGAGCAGGGAAGTGCAGAACAAGGTTTGGAGGAGAAAAGAGCAAAGCTGAGCCCAGCCAGAGCCTGGTCAGCTCCCATTAAGCTGCGCCTACTGCAGGGAATGTCAGCTCTCAGTGGGTGTTAATTCACCTGGGCTGCATGTGGAGGAGTGTGGAGACCTCTCTGTGCCCTGAGGCAGGAGAAGAGGAGCCTTAGACAAGCATGGCTGGGCTGCCAAGCTCCTTTCATTCCAGTTATCCAGCCTGTCCTTGGAGCTGAGCAGCAGAATTGTTCCAAGGAGCAGAGAGAGGGATGACTGGTAGGGCTCATGCAAAATTAATCCCATTTATTCCGCCAGTGCCTAACCCCAGCTGCAAATAATCAGAAAAGAGCATTTCTGTAATGACAGACCACTACCTGAGTGTGCTGAGCAAAATTTTGGGAGGCTCCTTAGGCTGTTTCTCAGATGGTGGGAAGGGAGAGACACGCTCTGCTCCCAGAGCATCTCGCCCAGGCTGCTGCCCTCAAACACCTCTGGAACGTTTCTGCTGCTCCCTGAAGCACAGGAAAATATCTCCTCACGCATAGAGATGTCTCAAATGAGCTGCTGGGCTGTCCTGGGGTGGATTTCACAAGCCCAGAGCGGGTATTTGCTGCCTGTGCTGTTTTTCCTGGCCAGATTTGTAGGGATGAGCCTGAGATCCCCGGCAGCCCCAGCACTGAGGATCTGCCTCTTTTCCCTCATTAGCATATTATGCCCTTGATCCAGCAAAGCACTTTGGCACATGATTAGGTTTCAATGAGCCTGTAGGAGCTCAGGCTGAAGCATGCACAGAAGTGCTCTAATGAACTCAGGCCCAAGGATAGTGCCTCTTAAATTCCCTCAGCTCCATCCATCAGCTGCAGTGCTCCAGCCTCGCCTGAAAATGCTTTTTGCCTCCTCTCTCAGCCTGAAACCTCATTTTCACCAAGATAATGTGAGACAGATACCTGTGGCTGTCTGGGGGAAAAGAGTTATTTTTAGCAGTTGAAATAGGAAATTAATACAAATGAAGCTTCCAGTGCTGCTCTTGTCATCGTGTTTGAGGAGCTGATTCACAATTAAACCAGAGTCACAGGGAGTCAGCATTGGTCTGATGACCTCAGTGAGGTTTATAAGGGCAAATCCAAGGTTTAAACCCTGCTCAAGCTTCCCTGTGGATCTGCCTTTCCTGGCAGCTCCAAAGGGGCTGTTCTGAGCCCAGCTCTGGGGTTTCAGCTGGGATCAACCTTCAGCCTTGGGGAGCTGCACAAACTGATGGAGCAACAGTAAGAGGAATCTCGGGGGAGATTTTCAAGGTTTAGGGGAAAAACCAGCAGAGAAATGGACTCAGCTGATGATTCAGGAAATGAAAAGTTCATTTGATAAGGTTTGCAGGAGGCAGGGATGGCTGAGAAGAGATTCCACTGTCCCTCTGTACACACCTGGGAGTGACCATCAGAGGAACAAAAAGAGCTGTAAAATCTGGAAATCAGCACTGGCTGAGAGGAAGGATTGGCAGGAAACCAGAAATGGTTTCACCAGCAGAGGAGGAAGTTGTCCCCGATAACAGGGCCAGACAAATAAACAAATCAATCAATCAATCAGATTCTGTTTGGAGATCAAACACAACGTGATGATGAGCGGGACTGAGGTGATGCCTCGGTTTGGGTGCAGTCCAAGGGCTGCGCTCAGCACCTGCCAAGGATGAGCTCAGACACCTCGAGTGTCAAAGCCTGGGCTGAACACTCTGTGCAGAACCCTCCCCTCCCCTCTGTCACCTGCCAGGGTGCCCAGCACTCCTTCCCAAATGCAGTTCCTACACTGATCCTCATCCCTGTGAACAGAGCATGGATGGATGGCAGCTCTGAACCTCCAAACTCCAAAAGATTCTGCATGGAGATTTCCCTGAGGATGCTTTAATTGCTTTGTGTGCACACACATGCAGCTGATGCCTCGCAACACCATTTCCATGGGTGAATTCCATGTCTGCTCCTTGGAAAAAACCCAACCACAATTTCCTCCTTGACACATTGTGGAGAAACCAGGAGCTGCAATTTCCCCCCATCACAAAGGCAGGGTCAGAATGCCAGCTGAGGGAAGGAGTTTTCAGGATTGAAATCCTCCCTGGGCAGCTAGGAGGATTGTTTGCACCTCCAGGGATGATCAGCTCAGCCTCCATCAGGATCAGATGTCTGGCACCAAGAGCCTGTTCCTTATTTTGGGGTTTTTCATATAGGTTAGCGTGGGAGTGAGATGCAGCCAGATTAGCAGGCAGGTAACATATCCCACAACACATGCCCAGAAATCCTGCTCCTCCCTCACTTTTCCTCCATTGGCAGCCAGAGACCTGCATTAAAAAAACCCCACTGAGCACCTCCACCCTCCTGATGTTATCCCAGGTCTCCCATTCCCATCAGCTGAGGGCATTGGGTCAAATCCTGATTGTTTAGAGTGGATGAGGAGTTCTCTGAGCTGTTCATAAATCCTGCTGCCTCTCAGGAGCAAAAGCACCCAGGGTGTTATTGCTGTGAGAAAGAAAAGCCTGACTTGGGATTATTTTTAGCAGCCTCTGACAACCCAAAGGATTGTTTTAGGGCTGAATGTTTTCCTGGCTGGCTTTATTGTCCTCAGCACATGGGGGAAATCAGTTAAGTGGAGGTTTAATATTGTTAGAGGGAATTAATACAGCAGCTTTCCCCAAAGCAGCAGGATGAAAATTCTTTTGTCATGCACGGCACAGGCCAATATAGCATTAGGGGATGGGGTTTAATTATATATCCAGCACAGGAGCCAGCTCATATTTGCAAGAGAAGAGCACAATTTCACATGAAACAGCATTTCTTCACTGAAATCTATTATCTGGAAAATTCCTTGTTATTGGGGATGTTTCCCTAATGAGATTTTTTGATCTTTTAGGACAGCAGACTATTAAAAACTAATCAAGAGGATGTCAACGGTGGGCAGAAAACCACTGAGTGTCATCTCTGTGCTACCTGCTGGCGACAGCTTGCAGGGTTTCACTTGACCTTTTCAATACCACCTTGCCTAGCAAAGCTTGGCTTTGGGCTTTTAATTCTCACTCCTCTCCTGTTGCTGAGTCTGCTCTCAAACTGCTTGTGCCAACAGAATGAAAAAAGGGGATTTTTTTTTTTTTTTTTATTTTTTTTTTTTTTAGAGATACGGTTCAATATTAGCGCTTTGATCTCAGCAGTTTCCCCTCGACCTTAGGCCAGGCTCTCCTCTCAGAAAACACTTAAAGAGATTTCTCCTCCTGCCTGCAGCTGATTATTCCCCACTACACACACAGGGACAGCTCCACACGGAAAAACCATCCCAAGGGGCCTTCCCTGGAAACCAGGGCTCAGCTTGGGTTTCTCCCTCACCAAACCAAAGCACTTTTGGCAGCAGGGGCCAAGCGTTACCTTTTCTAGGAGTTGTCTCAGCTGCTTTGTCCTGGCATCACGCGAGCACATCGTCTGCTGAGGTGCCACCACTGTGCATATACAACGTCCCTCGCTGTCCTGGGCAGAGCTGTACACCTGCCAGCTTTCCTCTGGGTTGGTAGGCAACACCTAATTAACACAGGGAGAGATGGGTTAATTAACCAGGGGAAGGCTCTGGGAGGTGAAGGGGGACGAGGACGTGGCAGGGAGTGGAGGCTCCTCCGCGGGCCCAGCTGGCAAAATTCACTTGGAATGCAAAAATATGGATTGGGGACGAAGCAGAGAAAGGTCTGAAAAGGAGAGGAAGAGCTGAAAACACGAAGGCAACGCGAGTGGGAAAGCGGGGACACAGTGAAAATTCCGAGTGCTGGTCAGCGCTGAGCACATTGGGGTGGGAGCCCTGCCCTGCTGCGGTGACAGAGCCCTCCTTAACACCGGGACAGGGACATGCCCGAGCCACCAGGAGGGCACAGTGTCCTGCCGAGGCTGAGCAGCGTCCCTGGCTCTGCAGAGCCTGCCGGGGTCTGTGTCCGGGTCTGATAGCCAGAGATGAGCTCGGATGAGTGCAGAGACACCGCAAGGTATGGACACATGGACACCCCGAATTATGGACACCCTGACAGCCCAAATTACAGACACCCCAAGGCACCGACAGACTGAGGTACAGGCACCCCAAATTATGGACACCCCAAGTCATGGACAGCCTGAATTACAGACACTGCTAGGTAAGGACACCCCAAGGCATGGACACCCTGAGTCACGGACACCCTGAGGCATGGATACCCCTAATTATGGACACCCCAAGGTAAGGACACCTCGAATTATAGACACCCCGAGGTGTCCTCGAGGTATCACTGAGGTAAGGACACCTGAAGGCACAGACACCCCAAGGTAGGGATATCCCAAGGTATGGACACTCCGAGGTACAGACACCCCGAATTACAGATATCCTGAATTACAGTCACCCTGAGTCATGGACACCCCGAATTACAGACACCCCAAATTACAGAATCCCTGAGGCACGAACACCCCGAATTATGGACACCCCGAATTACAGAATCCCTGAGGCACGAACACCCCGAATTATGGACACCCCGAGGTACAGACTCTCGAGGCACGGACACCCTGAATTACTGACACCGCAAGGTACAGACACCCCGAATTACGGACATCCTGACATACAGACACCCCGAATTCCGTTCCCGCCCCCTCTCTGCCCCATTCCCCGGGCATGAGGAGCCTCCCTGGGCCATAGCTCCCCTCTGCTCCAGGCAGGGCAAGCCCGGAGCCCTGAGCAGGATCCCAGCAGGGATGGATGCGATGCAGCACTGAGGGCACGCCGGGGAATGAAGCCCACCCCAAACACAGCGCGTTCCCCTCTCTGCTCTTCATTTTCCTTCTATCTCACGGCATAATTCATTATTTAATCCCACCCAGCCTCGGAGCACTTTGAAGGTGTCACCGTGTCCCCAGCCAGAGGGGAAATGTTGTTTCCACCGCTTCCCTACAGAACAAATCACCTTGCAAATGCCCACGTTGACAGACATGCCCAGGCGGACGCACAATTGGATTCCCTGGCTAAAACAACCGGGAAAAAAAAATAAAATAAATGGATCTCATAAACCCTGACAACGTGATAAAAAAAAAAAAAATCCCAGCTTCATTCACTGAGCAGCACAAGCACTACACGGAATACTCCGGGAACAGCGGAGCTGCAGCAGCGTCAGAAAGCACCAGCGTGCAGCCTGCAGGAGAAAGGTGCCCGATTTTCCCTGCTCAGGGAAGACAGACAGACAGACTGGAATGATTTTCCAGCCATTCCCGAAGTGGGAAGCTCAGGCACGGCCCCAGCTCTCCAGCAGAGCAGGGACAGGGATGTCCAGCCCGGCTGCATCCCCATCCCTCCGAGGGCGCATCGGGCAGGAGAGCAGCGGAGGCGCCTCCCGGGACTCGCATCCGCTCT